GGGGAGCAAGAGCCAACAAGTGCCAAGGCACTACAGAGTTTGAGACCACTGGGAAAACATGAGAGATTCAATTCAAATTGTAATTAGCTAAGTTTATTAAAACTGCTAGCAGGGCAACAGCCTTAAAATCAAAACTGAAGGCATCAGCCTTAAAAGCCAAAAGGGGCTTAGGGAAGAGTTTTTAAAGGTGAAGATCACAGTTAACCCTGTTTCTGTGGAGTTTGCAGCAGTGTAAGAAACTGCTCCACTCCCCTGAGCTATGGGAAGAGCTGTCTCTGCATCCTGTTCACAACCATAAAGGAGGTACCTCACTCCCCTGTATACAGTGAGAAGCGGGTTTACAGAAGCCAGAGCAAGCTGTTAATCATCTCACAGCAATTACATCATTCTGGGGAGGGTGCAGGTTGCTTGGAGCTCATCTTTCAGAAGCTTAGGGCAGAGGCTAATGGCTATGAAGGAGATACTTGGTACAGAATGGAGTTTCCTTAGCCATCACAAAAGAAGGATGTGACAAGTTGAAGGAACAGAAGACTAATGGGTCTAGAATAGAGGAGAATGATGGAGGTAGGGCAGGCAAAGGCTGGATCTTGGAGCTCTTCAGGAATTTGAGCTTGTTTTGTAAGATCTGGGAAGATCAAAAGGCCAACAAGAAACTATGGACGCAAATAGCAGCAGCACTAACAGAGCTGAACTTTATGGGAAAACAAGATTTAGTTGGGAAAGAAGGCCTAAGTTCTAAGACAAAGGAAGGGATCCAGCACTCAGGATGCTGAGACAGGAGGATCATGAATTTGATGCCAGCCTGGGCTACACAGATCTGTCTTAAAGTGAATTCCAGGGGGTTGGAGAGGGCTCAGAGGTTAAGAGCACTGGCTGCTCTTCCACAGGTCCAGAGTTCAATTCTCAGCAACCACATGGAGGCTCACAGACATCTATAATGAGATCTGGTGCTGTCTTCTGTCCTGCTGTCCTGCAGATATACATGGAGGTGGAATGTTGTATGCATAGTAAGTAAATAAAATCTTAAAAAAAATAATAAAGTGATTTCCAGGACAGGCTCCAAAACTACAGAGAAAAACCTTGTCTCAGAAAAAGAAAAAAACAAAAAGAAATAGGGATTGGAGGGGTATCTCAATAGTAGAGGATTTGTTTAGCATGTACAACCCCTAGTGTATAAATCCAATAAATAATAGAAGCAAAGAATACTTACCTTATGGAGAGAGACTTGTGAAACTGAATGAAGAAGGATGACTACAAAGGTATAGCAAGCACACTTTGCTTCTCTTTGCAAAATAACCAAAATGTATGTCTTATGTATATATTTGTATACCCAAAAAAGCATGAATTCCCACAAGTTTTAATAGTCTAAATAGGAAACAAATGTCTATTCAAGAGTGGAATGGGTAAATGATAGTGTAGTCAAACAATGGAATACTCAGCAGCTACGAAGAATGAAGCACACTCAACAATGCCCATGATTATCACTAACATAATGTCAATAAAACATACAAAAGAGTATGATTCCACGTATATGAAGTCTAACAGGCAAAACTGACCTCTGCTATTAGAAGTCAGAATGGTGGCTGTTTCATCCCCCCTTTTAGTCATCTAGAAAAAAAAAATTGTGTGTGTGTGTGGTGGTGCATGCTCGGAATCCCAGCACTTGATAGGTAGAGTCAGCAGGATCAAGAATTCAAGGCCAGCCTCAGTTCTGTTGTGAGTTTGAGATCAGCCTGTGCTTCATGAAACTCAAAACAAAATTCGATAAAATACATATACCACAAAGTTTACCATTTGCATTCACACTATTGTGTAATCATTCCCAATAACTAGTTTCAGATTTTATTTTTAATATTTAATTTCATTCTGTGTGTATGAGTGCTTGTCTGTATGTGGACCCATAAGTAAGTGTGTGTGTGTGTGTGTGTGTGTGTGTGTGTGTGTGTATACCAATGGGTGCAATGTCTGTGGAGACCAGAAGAAGGCATTGCATCCCCTGAATCTGGAGTTACAGTTGTAAGCTGTCATGTGGGTGTTAGAAGTCAAACTAGAGGCCTGTGGAAGATCAGCCAGTGGTCCAGCCCCACTCCCAGAGAATCAATGAAGACTAATAACTGGGAGAAGCACCTGGTTATTGTAATTGTTCCTCTAAACAAAATCTAGCTGTTTCTATCGTGATGACGTATCCAGATACATTGATTATACTTCTTTGTATGAATGTTATACCTAAATACTTGTAGATAAATAGTTTTGCTAAGTGGTTGTCTCTCACTTTAAAGGTAGGGTTCTGAATCCTCTTTGTTTTGCTAATTTGTATTTCTTAAGTTGGTCTTTATGAACACAAGTATTATTATGGCAATAAAATTTTAAAATGTAAATCACTTTAAATAAAAGGAGTATATTAACATTAATCTTCAAAAGAAAATATTCCTTGTAGTCCACTAAACTCTGCTTACTCACCCTGTTGTGTCAGGGTTGACATTTCTATGTTTGCCCCAGTCCTATATGGTTCTGTATCTCTCCTGTCACATTTTTTTCTGGTGGAGGTATATAAGGCCTGTGGGTACAAATGAAAAGGGAGGGAGTCCTACTCTCTTTGGTCACTGGTTATCTCAGTAGACTCATCTTTGCCAAACGAGAAGCAAATTTGTAGCAAAAACTGAAGATTTGAGAAGATAACTTAAAGACCAAGGTATGTAGGCTACCTGGACTGGCAAGGCAAGAACAGCCACAGGCTTTAGACAAGTGAGCCCCTCCCGACACACATGCAGATGTGTAGAAGGCAGGCAATCTAGAAGTCTGTCATCTAGAAGGCAATGAACATTTCCCCTAGTCTGTGATCTAAAAGATGAGTGGCCTTCAGTCTGTTATCAGGAAAAGAGTAAGCACTCCAGGAAGTTTAGCAACAGAAGTCATTGCCAGCTTCTTCAACCATGTTGCACCCACTGGGGGTGCTGTGTCAGGATTGGGAATACCTGTAAGCTAGCCTTGTGCTATAATTCATCTCCATTTTCATTTATGTCCTACACAGTTCCTGCAGGCTGTTCCTTCCATGCTACCAGCTTCCATAGTCCTTTGTGTCTTTCCTAGAGCAGTCATCACAATGGCTAGTAGTGATCTGCTGCCAGTGTGGCTTTTTAAATAACTGGAACTAAGTCTTTTCGACCATTGCCTCCTCAGCTCCAAACAATTCCAGGCTCACAGTACATATTCAATCCACGTTGACCTAAATTGTTGAAGACATGTCTACTCTTGAGCCTCTTCCTCAAGTGATGTGACTGCATACCCTGCTTCTCTCTAGGCTTCAGTTCTTCCTGAAGAAATGATTACATGCATAGACCCTGCACATGCCCTCACCTGTGGCAGAGTTAAGCCCACTTCCACATGCACTGTGGGTGATCCCTTCCCAGTCATCTTGCTTCTCCTGTGCTTTGTTGCCTTTCCCTTCAAACTCTTCCCAATATCCTTGTTTTCCCATGCTTGGGGTTGAATTCAAGGCTTTGCACACACTAGGTGATCACTTTGTCACCAAGCTGCATCACTGTTCACTGGACTCCCGTATCCAAGCACTTGTTAATTAAGTTGCCTCTGCTTGCACTTATAGGACAGGACTTACCCATACACACTGAAATATGCCTGTCATGTATTACCATTGTCCTGTTAAGCCCTCATCCTAAGCCAGGCCTTATGCTTGTTCATGCTCTAGTTAGAAAGGTGGTGACTGCTGTAGAAGGCTTTCATTCTAGAAGAATGTAACAAAGTACCTTACTCAATCCTTGGTCAGTCACAGCTTCCCTGAGGATCTAAAATTCCTGCAAACATTCAAGTTTAAGTAGAAGGTAGTTAGGGGCGATGAGGCGATAAAAGAACTGAAGGGAAGTACATATTTAAAAGGCTGAGGGCTGGGAGGGGTTAAAAACTCAAGGATCCTAAGGACATTGCCAATAGCTGAGTGGAGCTGAGGACAGCATGCCCAGACGAGGTTAGGGAGCAGGCACTGACAAAATAAAGAGCCCTTGCTGTCCTCTGAGTCTGTTTCAGACAGGGATCTTTGGTTAAAAGTGACCACTGATCCACTAGGAAAAAAGAGGTCCTTCATGGGCTCAGTAGCTAAAGGTTCAGGGCTTTCAAGATCAAAGATGTCATTGAGTTTTGACACCTCTCTCATCTCTGCTCTCCTTTGTGTTAGCTTCATTCTTTCTCTGTGAATTGGTCCCCTGATCTCCCCGGAACACAGAAGATGACTGGAGTGGAAGAGATCATTGATATTGGCTGCTTATCCATGTCAGAGCCTTCAAGGCTACTTTCTAGCTTAGATTTCCCCCCTGAAAGGATGACAGGGTCTTGGCCTTATTGGAGCTTATGAAAACGGAGAAAGGGACAGGCGAAGAAGGGACTCTATTCCAAAACTCCAAAGCGATTTGCTTTTTAAAACTAGCCAGTTCCCTGTTCCCTGCTTGTTTGTCCAAGGTCCCAACGTGCATATTATCTGCTGCATTCTTAGCTCTACCAAACAGCAGAATGATTAGTTTCGGTAAGAACGTAAGGAAGGACAGGAACCCCAGAAACGACCCCAACACACCCTGACCTACTTCTCTCCCTTCCACTCTGGCTCCTCCTCAGCCCTGCTCAAACCTCTCCAAGTCCTGCCCCTTTGGGGCACTTGAACTTGTCCACTGAGCAGTGGGTCGCTTTCCCCTCGTGCACAACCCACCTAGGCAGGCCCAGCCAAAGAACATCCCACCCAGGGACCTTTTTTTCCCTGGGATCCCGCGCTTCCGCCTCCGGGGCGGAGACTCCTCCCCTCGCAGTCCCAGTTGTGTTCCTGGAAGAGCAGACGGGACCGGCAAGAAGCCCAGTCCTCTTAGCGTTCCAGGAACTGTTCAACCCTGGAGGCCCTGATCCCTACCCGGGAGAAGGCGTCTGCGATAATTCAGCACCACGGACAGCACCCAGTCCGCAGCCCTAGAGTCGGCGAGGCCACGCGCTATGCTAGCGGCATGGCCCTGCCCTCCAGATCTATGGTGCTGCTCCTCAGCTTCGGCCTTCTCTGGCTGTGTTCAGGTAAGAACTGGCCCGCCAGGCTCCCCTGCCTCAGCTAGTGGCTCAGGACGCCAAGTTTTGTCACCCCTACCAGGACAAAGGCGAAAGGAGGGATTCTCTAGAGGTGGGGGACCCGGCTGGGGGGATGGGAGACTCCAGGGTCTGCAGGGAGAGCCTGGAAGACTAATCTGGAAGGAAGACCCGGGCGCAGGCGCAGGCGAGAGGCCAGAGAGAGCTGGAAACCTGACCATTGCAGGGAAGAAGCAAATGAGCACAAGGAGGAAGAAGAGGATCCTGAGATGACAAGAGGCTTGGCAGCATTTAACTTTTTATGCCCCAGGCCATCGTCTCCCACTTCCCTCATTGGGGTCCTGATTTGAGTCACCCTGAAAGTAGGGTCAAGGCTGGAAGGGAGAGCAGTGACTTCCAACTTCTCAGTAGGATTGGTCAGGAGACTTGGAAGAGTAGAAAATGCCAGACTGAGGGCGAGGGCGGCGCTGTGCGGGGTGTTCAGGAGGTGTGCTCTTGGAGAGTCACAGAAGGGGAGGCAGAGGAGAGGGCCAGTACAATAGAACGAAATTTCTACGCCTTCATGGCAACACACAGGGGGTGTTTGCCTGCACCCACAGGTCAGGCAGCCCCACTATTCTGGTCCAACCAATGGAGGCAGAGATCTCAAGCTTTGGAGGCTTGTCTCTTTGAAATCTTTTGGTGGAAAACAAGTCCCCGTTAATCTTTGCAGTGTGGGTGGTTAGTCTAGAGGTGTCTGTGGAACTGTTTGGATTTGTGGTATGGTCTCAGAGAAGGACTTAGCTATGAAAGTCACCTGGAGCTTCTGTGGTCCTGTGGCATAATTGAAAAATTTTCAAATTCCTTTATGCACAGGGCTATGATTGAGGCCAATCGGTCAATCTTCCCACTCCTTGAGTAGGTGGGTCTTTGTGAGCCCTTCTGTTTACTCACTTCCTGCCCTACCTTGCCCAGGGGTTTGGGGTACTGACACAGAGGAGCGGCTAGTGGAGCATCTCCTGGATCCCTCCCGCTACAACAAGCTGATTCGTCCAGCCACCAATGGCTCTGAGCTGGTCACTGTACAGCTCATGGTATCACTGGCCCAGCTTATCAGTGTGGTGAGTGTGGGTTTCAAACTCATTGTCCAGCTACAGAAGTCAGCCCAGACAGAAAGGCTTACTACCTAAGCTTACTCTGTAGGCACTTCTAAGGTGGTGGTGGGGATTATAATAGGGTGGTGGGAGGTCTGAGGACCGGGGGCCTTCTCAGCAGCTGCCTGTTTCCCTGCAGCATGAGCGGGAGCAGATCATGACCACCAATGTCTGGCTCACCCAGGTCAGTGCTCTTTCCTACACATACCCTCTACACACCCCTCCTCCCGTCTCTCCATCTCCTTCAGAGAGGAGCCCTCAATAGATGATTCACATCCTTGTTTGGACCACTTACCAGCACTGTAATTATTAGAGTCTGGTCTTGCTGGGTAGCTCTGGCCAGCCTAGAACTCACAGTGTGGATCAGGGTGGTCTTTAACTCACAGAGATGTCTGCCTGTCTCTGCCTCACTAGTGCTGGGATTAAAGGCAGTCACTACTGTACATGTTGTGATTTTAAACACATGTGACACTCCCAAGATGTATTTTAGACTATAAAGTCTAATACCCTGGCTCAGCTGTGTAAATTAAATGGAGAGGCACCATCAGCATGTGACCCATGTCTGGGCAGAGAAGTCACTGTGGCTTGGAGAGAAGTCTGACTTCTCAAGTTTTCCACAAGCCATATGAGTCCTCTTTCTGGGTCCCCTTTGGGGCTAGAGGTTGGTACTGCCTTGTTCTCTCCCTTCCCTAGGAGTGGGAAGATTATCGCCTCACCTGGAAGCCCGAGGACTTCGACAATATGAAGAAAGTCAGGCTCCCTTCCAAACACATCTGGCTTCCAGATGTGGTCCTCTACAACAAGTAGGTGACCCTGGAGTTATAGGAAGGTTGTGTGCTTGGGAGGGGATGACATCATGGGGTGGGGATTCAAGAGGAACATGCTATTGTGAGAAGAAGGAGGGGCCTTTCCCCAGCAGGTTGTAAACAGGCATTATCCACACAGACAGACCCAACTAGTGGGATGAGTATGGGTAGCCATGGTGACTTGGACCTTGACCAACCCTTCTCAGCTACTTAAAATTGCCAGTATTTGGAACTGGGGTAGGGAGACTGGCAGTTTTCAATGCTTAAACTGATTCAAGAATGGGCACTTCTGAAAGCCTGGATGGTAACAAAGAACTTACGGTTCTAGTTTCACCTAGGTTCTGTTCTGTTCCCTTCAATGAGTCTTCTTACCTTTATGGCACAAAATTCCCTTAATGGATGGAACTGCCCGCACCCCTTCATTGCTTGGGGCTCCTTGCTATGGCCTCTCTGGCCTCCCCACCTCTTTGCCCTCATGAGGACTAGTCAGCTTACACAATGTGGGACAAGTAGCAGATTCGTCCCCTGCCTCCATTATTCTCTTGGATATAAATGTCCGTGTATATCCCCATGCCCAGCTCCATTCCTGCACGGTATGTATATTAGGTGGTCACTCCCAGCTTGGGTCCTCCTTGCTGAGTTGATGAGCGGGATGGAGACCCTCAAAACAGGGCTGACTATTCCATTCCTTGGCAGTGCTGACGGCATGTATGAGGTATCCTTCTATTCCAACGCGGTGGTCTCCTATGATGGCAGCATCTTTTGGCTACCGCCTGCTATCTACAAGAGTGCATGCAAGATCGAGGTGAAGCACTTCCCGTTTGACCAGCAGAATTGCACCATGAAGTTCCGCTCATGGACCTATGACCGCACGGAGATCGACCTGGTTCTCAAAAGTGATGTGGCCAGCCTGGACGACTTCACACCCAGTGGGGAGTGGGACATCATTGCGTTACCAGGCCGGCGCAATGAGAACCCAGATGACTCCACCTACGTGGACATCACCTATGACTTCATTATTCGTCGCAAGCCGCTCTTCTACACCATCAACCTCATCATCCCCTGTGTTCTCATCACCTCGTTGGCCATCCTGGTCTTTTACTTGCCCTCGGATTGTGGTGAGAAGATGACGCTTTGTATCTCTGTACTGCTGGCGCTCACGGTATTCCTGCTGCTCATCTCTAAGATTGTACCTCCCACCTCCCTTGATGTACCGCTAGTGGGAAAGTACCTTATGTTCACCATGGTGCTAGTCACCTTCTCCATCGTCACTAGTGTGTGTGTGCTCAACGTGCATCACCGCTCGCCTACCACGCACACCATGGCTCCCTGGGTCAAGGTGGTCTTCTTGGAGAAGCTGCCTACCCTGCTCTTCCTACAGCAGCCACGCCACCGCTGTGCACGTCAGCGCCTGCGCTTGCAGAGGCGCCAGCGGGAGCGCGAAGGGGCAGGCACGCTCTTCTTCCGCGAGGGCCCTGCAGCTGACCCATGCACCTGCTTTGTCAACCCTGCATCAGTAAAAGGCTTGGCTGGGGCTTTCAGGGCTGAACCCACATCTGCAACTGGTCCAGGGCGCTCAGTGGGGCCTTGCAGCTGTGGCCTCAGGGAAGCAGTGGATGGTGTACGCTTCATTGCAGACCATATGCGAAGTGAGGATGATGACCAGAGTGTGAGTATGAAGTGTGAGATAGCCATGCTAGGAGCATGGCCCCCGTGTGCCGGGAGTAGGTGTTGCTTAGAGTCACAAAACAAGAGTACAGGGGAGAGACAGCTTGAGTGAGGTGGGCTCTGCAGGATGGGCTGGCAGACTAACTTACCTGCTTTGGAGTTTGTACCAGAAGGATGACCTTACATTCCCCTGAGGAATAGTACTCAGGGTGAGATGCATCTACTGGGACATCATCAGTGCGAGGGAGGTAGCCAGGAACCTGAGGGCAGGGAAGAGTTCTTTTGGGTTTGAGGGTGTCACCGAGTTTTTTCTTGTGGATCACATGACCACATCCAAGTGTTAATGTGTTGCTCTTAGTGCAAATGGAGATGAGTCCTTGTGGACCACAGAGCAGGCGAAATTGAGGGCAGTGGTGATGACAGGCAGGGAAAAGCAAGTTTAGAGATTCCATGGGGTTGATTCCAGTGGAGAGAACAGAATTTAAAATCAATATTCCATTTCTACTCTCCTGGGCCTTAAAAAGAGTCTAATGAAGTATTTATAGAGATGGGGTGGGTAGAGGCCCAGGTTTCCTGGAGTCATCTCTCCCTCTTTCTGCACATCCAGCTCCTGGTTCCCCCCCCCCCCCCCCCCCCCGCCGCAGTCTTTCCAGAAGGGGATTTCTTGAGACTAATCCAGAAGTTGGGGGAAGGTACAATGGATTGACAGCCTACCCCACATTTTGGGTACCATCTAGCCTTCCCTGAGATCAGTGTTTAGTTACGTGTCTGGTTCTAGGCCAAGGCATGGCTGTTGCTATAGTGACTGGCAAGGTTTCCTCTGGGACTCTGCCATTCCTGTGGGGAAGGAGAGACGGCAGGCGCTGTGGGTTTTGTTGGGAGCTGAGTTCAGGCATCTTTTCCTCTGGACAGCATGAGACGAGATAGGAAGATTTTACAGTTCAGAGGAAGGCAGATGTGTTGAGATTGGAGATGAGGTCGCTGAGGCTAACTGGGAGACATTGGTGGCAGGGCTCAGCTGCTGCTGGATCACTGGCCTCCACCCCTGCTGCAGTCCATCATCTAGCCTACATTTCAAGCCAGGTGCTGAGGGTGCAGTGACCTACTTGGATGTAGGTCAGAGAGATCTGGAACTAACACATCCAAAAATCCAGTGCTTGATCTACACCCCCAACCTGATCCTAACTTGCCCCTAGTTTCTCTATCTTGTAGTAGATGACATTACCATGGGCTAAGCGGTTCACACTGAAGCCTGGGGAGGATGCTTGACTCCCCCCTCCTCTCTCTCCCTTACTTCCCATCACTGAAGTTATCAAAAGTCCTGTCCTTGGAGTATCACCTTCAAAATGATTCCCCGCTTTGTTATTTTCCTACCATCTTTACACTAACGCCCTGGTCCTTCGGCTGCTGTCAACTTCAGCTCTTGTGTGGACCGGGGAGACTATCCTAATTGCCTCCCTGGTTCAGCTTCCTATGCTGCAGTTAAATAACCCACGCTCTAGGCTCCTGACACTGCATCTTTGCCTGGGTCACTGGCTTATTACTCACTTGTCTCAAACAAAGCCAGGCTCTTTCCTGCCCTTGAGCCTTTGCATCTGGGTTCCTCCACCTGGAACAACCTGTGTATTAGTTACTTTTCTCATTGCCGTGACAAAATTCCAGACAAAAACAGCTTTCAGAAAGCAAGGTTTGTTTTGGCTTACAGTTTGAGGTTACAGCCCAAGGTAGGGAAGGTAGTAAGGAGCAGGAACGCGGGCCAGCTGGTCCTGTTGCACCTGTAGTCGGGAAGCCGGGAGAGGTGAGTACTGATGCTCAGCTAACCTTTTTTTTTCTGTCAGGAACCCTAGCCCATGGAATGGTGCTGCTGCCTCAATTAACCTAATCTAGAAAACTCCCCACAGACTTGCCAACCACAGTTCCTCCCCTCCTCCCCTTTCCCCAAACCCAATCCCATCCACTCCTCAGATAGGGGAAGGCCTCCCATGGGGAATCAGGAAAGCCTGGCATATTCAGTTGGAGCATGACGAAAACCTATTACTGTTACTAATTTTTGCTCTGTTATTTAGGAGTAGACCTGTATATAACCCATTACCCCAAACACTTCAGTGTATCTCTCAAGAGCAAGGATACTCTCTTGCATGACTCAGCTTCAGGGCTGGGGATGTGGCTCAGTGGTAGAGTTGATGGTTAGCTTGTGAGTTCCAACTGCAACCAACAACTGATCAAAACAGCAACTAAGTGCCGAGGTTCAAACATGGGATTCTGGAACCAGCATCGATATTTTTACTACTGTAAAGTCCACATTGAGCCTCTCCCAGTTGTCCTGGTGTTACCAGGTAACCTGGTAACCTCAGGGTTACCATCCATAGACCTAAGACCCCGAGTTGTGTTTAGTTGCCAAGCCTCATTAGTGTCCTCTCTCGGACTTGCCTTTCATGGGATAAACAGTTTAGAGGGGACCGGCCAGGTGAGTAGGGCTCTTCTGGCTTTGCCTGACCATGTCTTCAGTGACCTTGACACAGGGCTTCCTTCATGCCCATCAGATCTTGCTCTAAGTGCCCGGAAGAGGCATTTCCAGGGTACACTCTGTCCCCATCTTCCTTCTGTTTCTCCATCCCAGTCTTTCATTCCCTCTCTGAGAATTGTCTTTGGTTTATTGTCCCTGTCTCCCTGAGAGACTGAAAACCACAGGATTGTTCTATTTTACTTGGTTGTGTCCCAGTACTTAGGATGCTAGGTCTGTGACAGGCCCAAATATGACTTCAGTGAATGACTGGCTGCCGGCTACCCAAAGGCACACAGTTGCCTTCTCCCCATCCTGTGAGCTGGCTGGACCCCAGAGGAACACGTGCAAAGACCAGACTCAGTGTGGAAGAGAGGCTTGTTCTTCCTGTGACCCTGTATTTGGTTCTCAACCCCCATGGGCCATTATTAGCTTTCTATACCTGGGCTCCATTAGCACCCCTGGCCTCTGTGCAGGAGTGATGCTGTTGGATGGGGTGCCCCAAGCTATCATGAAAGCCGAGTTTCAGGGGAAACAGCTCCCAGGTTACTGAGCACTGTCCCAGATGCCTCCAGGGTTCCTCTGATGTATGAGTTTGCAGTTTGGTGGGTGGCCAGACATACAGATGCAATATGGCATAGTCTAAAGACTATGATGGCAATATATAACCCAGTGCCAAGGGAACAAGAGGATCAGGGAAGCCTTCATAAAGATTATACTTGATTAGGACTTTGAAATATGTGTAGGAGTTTGCCAGTTTTTTTTGTTTGTCTGTTTATTTTTTAAGAGAACTAAGAAGATATGATAGAGTTTTTACTAAGTTTGGAGTGTGAGAACCAATAAGAATAGGCTCCTGTTTGTTGTGGGTAGATTTGGATGGGCCCTGGGGGCAGTGGGGGCACTGGATGCTTTAGAGCAGGCAAGATCGGGGCTGTGAAATGTTGTTCTGGGTTTGCTGAGGTGGGGTGTGCATGTGTGGTAGGGACTTTCCTACCCTATCCCACATCATGAGACTGATATTGGGATTGCTTACATTTCCTCCATCCAGGTGAGGGAAGACTGGAAATACGTTGCCATGGTGATCGACCGCCTGTTTCTTTGGATTTTTGTCTTTGTCTGTGTCTTTGGCACCATCGGCATGTTCCTGCAACCTCTCTTCCAGAACTACACCGCCACTACCTTCCTCCACCCTGACCACTCAGCTCCCAGCTCCAAGTGAGGGCTCACACACCTGCAGCTCTTCACCCTGTGACCCTTGGGGTTCAGTAGTACTGGGTGGAAGATGGATTTATCCCTACTCCACTGAAGCCCTATTTCACACCACCACTCACACATAGCCCTCCAGCCTGGAGGCTGGACCAGCTGCCTAGTGTTCAAGCCATTCTCCTTTCCCTCCTGAGCTGATTCAGACAGTAGTGTTAATTGTGGGAGCCAGGGCTGGTAAGTAGAGGCCAGAGGTCTCAGAGCCATCCACCTTGAGGAGTGTGCTGGAGAAGGTGACAGGAAAGGGACAGAGTTATCCGTGGCCTCCGAGTCATGGTAGAAGAGGTGGGAAGAGGGCCTCAGGTTCTCCAGCCAGGCTGACAGTGGTGACTACTGAGATGGGCGCAGAGGAGTGTGGCCAGTAATTGGCACCCACCCACTTAAGTGGGCAGCAGCTGGCCTGGGAGGACTTGCAGTTTTAGGGGGGTCCTCCTGGGAGCTTTAGCTGGCCCTACAGTCTGCTGGAGCACTTCAACTTAGCCTCACAGCCTGTGCTTTGGAGGGCTCCAGAGCCCAGTTCCGGTTCCCTTCTGCCAGTGCAGAATTCTCTGCACCCCTAGATTTCCCTCCCTTTCTCACTTGAAGAGGTAAGGTGTTAGGGGGAACCTTTGAAAGTCATGAGTGAGGTGAGAATTCTAGGCTCATAGTCTCAGAAGAACTCTTACAGCGCTGGATTCCAGTGGGAGCCAGGTTACAGATCCAGAACAGGCCTGGAAGGTGAGCAAGCCCCTTCCTCCTTGCTCCAAGGCCACAGACTGCTCGAAGGATCTAAGTGAACTGTGAACCTGAACTGTTGCTTCATGAGCAGCTCTGCTTGGTGGCAGGAGGGACCTCCTACTGGAACAAGAAATTGCCTGTGTTAGCCCCACCCCCCCAGCCCAAACTTCCAGCCCCAGAGAAAGCAACCTGGCTGGCATCATGAGCAGCAACCGGAAAGGCATTGCCCTGTGGAGGGCAGCACCAGCGCAGGCCTTGCAGCCTCTGCCAGACCCTACCCACTGCTGCTGGGACTACCCTGGACTTTACTACCTCCTGTAGCTGGCTGTTGTACAAATTAGTCACCAGCCTGGGCTGGAAAGGCCAGAGAGCAATTTGTCCCCACTCCTCTTCGTGTCCTGTTGAACATATCAGACAGACAGTGCCCATCTTAGAACCTGCTCTCGGCGTTTGTACCGTGGGAACAGAGGTTGGCAGGGCTGTGATGGGTCCATGTGTGTGGAGCTCCTGGGGCAGTGCTGTTCCCCACTGCAATGGGGGAGGGGGAGGGGGAGGGGCTCTCATGTGTCAGGACAGTGGACTCTGAGTATACTGGGAGACTTTGGGGCCTTCTGTTTCTACCCCTGGAGGTGTTGGGAGGAGCCTCGCCTCCTACGCGGCTCCGTCTCTGGGAAGAATTAGGTAGCTGGTGTGTTGATCCTGGATGGGAACCTGGGTCAGGGTGGCAAGGGCGTGGCAGTGAAGAAACGAGTTGGGATTCCCATCAGTGACCAAGCTCCAGTAATCTGGCAACCACTTTTGCCTGGAAAGATGGCTCACAGTCCCCCTGCCTCTGTGGAGACCTAAAAGTCTGGAGCAGCTAGTGCCAAGGGTGCGGAAAGCCGAAAGCAAACAGGGCACAGGACCCTCCAGATGGTTTTTCTTTGGGGCGGGAGGGGGTTGGGTGGGTGGGGAGGGGCTGGAGGGGAAGGAAAGGACTTCTTTGTAAGGAACAAGGACAATGGGGGACTGTGTCTATCTGTCCTCTGGAACTCTGGCAGTCCTGGGGGAAGCAAGCTCCCGAGAGACCAGGAGCAGAGGCAGAGCATGTCTTTAGGGTGCCTGGTACCTGCCCCAGCCTGTCATCGGGGCCTTTGGGCAGGTGGGAGGCCTCTGAGGGAGGAAAGCAAAGGCCTTTAGAGCTTTCATCTGATTGTTCCCCAAGCAAGGTGACACAGCTCCTGTTGTCATCCTCTGCTTCCAGGCAGAAGTGGCTGTTGAGCCTCACTTACATTGGCCAGCTTCTCATTCACCAAACCCAACCGGACAGAACAAATGTCACCTGAAGTAATTATTCCATCATGTCTGAAGTTTGTCAGTGTGCCGGTCACGTGCTTCCCAAAGGACTAACACTTGGGAACCGGTAGGACAGCCCGCCCACCCTCACACCTTCAGGGCACTTGACTTTATGTGTCCCTGTCGCCACTCCTGGACTGTTTGCCATGGCCCACCCCCCACTCCCCAAACCCACCACCCCACCCTCACCCCCCTGTAGCTGGACTCGCAGCTCTTAAAATTGTTTCCAAATATGTCTTGCTACTTTGTTTTGTTTGGGGGGAGAGGGCTTCCCCACGAGACTGGCATAATCACAAGGACAGAATGCTAGAGAACCCCACTCAAGCGAGGGAGGGTAAGGTGTTGCACAAGTCAGAATAAAAGGTGAGCGACAGCATGTGCTGCCCGGTCAGTGTCATCTGCTCCCCTTATTGATGCAAAAGAAATGGCCAGGAGGCTGGGCCCAGAAGGGAACCTGTAGAGAAAGCCCTCTGTAAGGACCCAGCAGGGGCAGGGCGGGCCGGGGTGTCCTCTCCAGCCCATATGGCTTCAGTCAGCTGGCAGGCTGAAGTGAAACTGTGGGTGAGCCTCTCTGGGCCTTCAACCTAGGCTTTAAGAAAACTGTACTGTCTTCAAATTTGGGAGCCAGGGAACCACTTGTGTGTGCCAAGTGGTACTCTATCCTGAGCAACACTCCTCGCCCACAATTCTGGCCACATCAGAGACTGGAATACTCCGTTTCCCTGTATGTGGGCCAGTGGCTGCCTGAGGACAGTCACGTTGAGCTGCCTTTGAAACTGCTCAGTTCCCTGAGCACTGCACTTAAACAGGTGGTGAATGACACCACATAAGGTCCTGGTCTTGAGTGCTGGTACCCAAAAACATGTCAGTCACCCCGACTGTCTTTCACCCACTGTCCTCAGGTATGGTATTACTGTTGAGAGGCCAAAGACCAGTCTTCCGGGAATCCTGGCACAAGTTACTATGTAGAAAGAGCTGAGTTCCCTTTAAATTTAAGAGGGAGACTTTGGATACCAGCCACAGAGTTAAAAGATGCACCCAAGCCCATCCCGGTTCCCGGCTGCAGCTCCTTCCAAACGGCACACTCAGGCGCAGTCAAGGCTGAAGGCTGTGGGGAGGAAAGCAAGGGTGGAGCTGGCAGGAGCAGTGGTTGGTGACCAGTCTTCAGTGCAGGTTCATTTGGGGCTTTGAAATCCTATGTAAACCCCTGTGAACAAGGAATGAGATGGTGGGCTCAGATGGGGAGGGGTGGTGGGAAGCAGGGAAAGGAGCTGAGGACATGGCTGGAGCACCAGCTCAGTACCTACCCGCTCAGGCTGTCGGAGCAGTGCGGACCTTGAAACAGCTGTGGCTGTGGTCAGAGATTTTAGTGTCACAGGTCTCTCTGTCCCCAATCTCACCTCCCCCCAAGCAACCAAGACATGAACTTTCTAACAGTCCTGTTGCTTCAGTGTTTTTATTCTGAGGAAAGTATACTGTCATTTAAGGGACACAAGGAGGGACTGCATCCATCACAGCACCAAGGCAATGCCTGGGTTCTTCCCTACTCTGCTCTTGGAGTCATGGTCAGAACCCCAAGGCCAACAAAAACCCCTTCAACTTGAGTACAGGAAATAGTTTCAAGCATTGACAATTCTTACACGTGATTAAGTCAAAGAATGCAAGACAGCCACAGTTCAGACAAATCAACTACAGAAGTTATTAAATGGTGTGGAAGGAAGGCCTTGCTTCTTAAAAGACCACACAAAGAAGCGAAGAAAACATGGTGGAAGCCCCGCCCCTCTGTCCAGTGGGGCCTGGAGGCAGGCTGTGTGCCAGTGGCTCACTTCCGCAGGCCCAGAGAACAGATACCTTGCTCTCCTCCATCTGCGGGAACCTAGAACCACACGTTTGTTAGGCAGGATCTCAAGGATAAGGGTTGGGTTCTGGTCTGGAGAGCCTGGTGTGCCTGGTTGAGGAAGAGGATACTGCGTCGTCAGCTCTGCTAAGTGAATACCCAGGAAGGCCCAGAGGGGCCAAAGCAATCGATGGAGAAGAGTCCCTGGCCTGCCGGGGCCCAGAAGCCACAACGGCTCTGCCTCAGCTGCAGGTGCCAGAAAGTAACATGCCTCCAGCTGACACCACAAACACGGTGCTGCAGCAGACACTAGCAGTTCCATAGGATAATTTGGTGTTGTGCAAAGACATTCCCAGTGTATTAAGACATAGGTTCTTGTGTTGGTCAGCTTTGATCATAGGTTGAGGAGACATTGGAATCAGAGTGCAAATGATGTAGTTGCTGTTGACAGTGGGCCAGGGGTTGGGAAAGCCAGGCAGCACTGAGGGGTGGCTGAGCAAGGGAGTGCAGGAAACTATTGACACGGCTGCTCCCAGATGGAGCCACACCATTCAGAGGAAAGGTGTGGGCTTGTCCTAAGGGGCAGAATGGAACAAGGTCTAGTTGTCTGACTGACTTGGTGCTAGAGCCAGACTCTATATAGAGGCTAAGGCTCTTACATACCCACAAGTCAATGTTGGGGGGAGGAGGAGTCAAAGGAGCCCACCCCAGAGAGGGAGGCTAGCCTGCCCTGTCACCTACAACACCGCTGTACATATATATCTCAAGATTCCTGAAGGGGCAAGGCAGGTCAGGAGATCCGAGTGCCTTTGTGGCCCGTCCACAAACCAGCTTCTGAAGCCATCTGGTAAAATGAAGGTACATTCACTAATGCAAAAATATATTTGTATCTCAAGTCTGTAATGCAGTCCAGAATCAATACCTCTGGCCTTTTAGAAACATTAATTTTACACAAGGCTTTGTCAACTTCTGCTGGTAACAGTGCCACGAGAAGAACCCAAGTGGGCCAGTACCTCGCCAACATGATGCTCTGCATTTCCTTTTGTTCAGTCTGGACAAAGATGATCTACCCTCCATGACTTGTCCTTAGCTTTTCACAAATAGCTGGGGTCTGTGGCCCCATACCACACATGGAGAGAGCCAGATTCCGTGAATGCTTTACAGAAGGGCAGATGGGAATGTGGCTACTTCCCAAAGAAGTAGCCTGGCTAGTGCACCCTGCTTAGTGCTCTGTGGGTCCCTACTGGGGAACCTGCTCGGCTTGAGCACCTCCCCCAGCCCCACATTTGGTTCTCAACTTCCCTGCTGTCCGGAAAGGGCGGTTCCCTGGCTGGCCAGCACGGCCTGTTTGTCATTGGGCAGGGCTTGCCTGTCCCAACCATATTCTACCACATTCCCATCGCCCTATGACCCCGGGCCACAGTTTTCAACTCCTACCCATGTAAACATTTCACCAATCCTTTATGTTCACCTCTTCATTCTCTGGGGTGGGGAAGGAAAAACCTCACCACAGAAGGAATTCTAGGAGGGGAGATTCGGGACCCGCGGATCTACAGAGGTGAAAATCGTTAGTCCCTGACATGATTTACAGAGAACTGACGGGAATGCAATCAAATCCACAAGAGGTCTGTGTAGCAAAGGAAAGGAGATGGAAAAAACATCACAAAACTAAACTGGAAGGGACCAGGCTGCAGGGGTTCAGGGACTGGCTATGCTACACGTGGAATGACATGGCCCCTCTTCTTTAATCTCTGCCTCTTCGACTGGGAAGGGGGGGGGCTCTGCTAGACCCCCACCTCAAAATCCCAAAGCAAGCAGGGTAAGTGGGGACCAAAGGTCTTGGTAGCATCTATTATGGTTCCTCCATTAAAAAGGGGGGAGGGGTATAAAAAAAAGCCCCTGAACTCTGGCCCAGTGTGATGAGGAATGCCATGAACTCCCTCTGACCCCATGGGAAACACACTATCAGTCATTGGGTACTGGACAGAGATAAAAGTTCTTTTCCTCCTGGGGTTTGCTGATCCAGTTCCCATAGCCCATGTCCCGCAGGCTTTTCTTGAAGTAGTTCTTGGCTAACTCGTAGTCACGGGCAGCTTTCTTGGCCTCACCATAGGAGAGCTGCAGTAAATCTCTGCGGGCACGGAAGGAGCAGAGCTTCTTAAACTGAAGGAAAATGTTCTTCTTGGACACCCGAGACAACTCCTTCCCTGGTCTAGGGAAACAAAGGCACTGGTTACTCATCTGGAAGCAGGAGAGGGGAGGGGAGGGCTAAGGCGTGAATGGCCACTAACCCCGGAGACTGGCAGCAAGCCCGGCTGGGCCTCTCCTGTGCCTTCCCACCTCCTTACCCATCCACGGTGCCTCTGGTGCCATCCAGGATCTCTAGGTCGTAGCCATCGGCCAAGCACCAGTTGACGCTTGTTTCCTTGGTCTTTCCGGATTGCCTTTTGGAATCATACACACTGACTCGGCCGACCTATGCGCCCATGGAGTGATGGAAGAAAGGGAACCATTTCAGTGCAAAGGTTTGGGAGCAGGGATGCAAGACTTCTGGGCTGGGAGTATGATGCCCTGTTCTTCCCCTTCAGAGCTGCACTAACTTCACCATGGTTCAGATTCATTTCAGACAAAGTTTAAGCCTAGATACCCAAAGGGAGGAAAAACTTGCTCCTGGGAGCCCAGCAAAGGTTTCCCTTTCCACAGTGCACAGCTTTGTGCAAGACAGAGGTACGGGCCCAGATCAAACAGAATGGGGTTATAGCACCTTGGGGTGGTTGACAATAAAGGGATAGCGTAGTCCATCCTCAAATGCATTCCCATCTCTGGTCACACGGCAGCAAATAGCACGAGTCAGATGCCCTTGGCTGAAAAGGTAACCTGGGTGAAAACAAATGCAAGTTTGCACTTAGGTCTGCAGCAAGTGCTACCAAGGGGACAGAGGCAGACAAGGAGGTGGAAGATGAGAAAGTCATCAGGTCGGAAAGATAGCTCCTTTGATGCAAAGCATCTGACTGTGGCCACACAAGACACAGGACAGGGAGCAGGTGGGAAGGAAGGCAGTAAGGCTCTAAGAGGCTTCCCTGTACCCCGAGGCCCAGTCTGGCATATCTTTCCCCGATTTGCTGCCTATGCCCACCCTCCCTGCCACAACAGACTGAGCACTTAGACCGTCCCTAAGATAAAAATCAAGCTAGCTTGGGAAGGCAGAGGCATATGAATACAGAACAGCATGGCCTATAGCTTGATGAGATCTGAGCCAAAGTAAGGTGGGTTCCAGCACCCAAATTAAGTCCTTTACCTAGTGTTACAGATTTCAGGTACACAGGCTGTAGGAAGTGAGTCAACAGTGCCCCTTGCAGGCCCAGCACATTCCAGCGTAGAATTTTGTCACTACAGGACATGGTCCGGAGTCTTTCCCCAAGGCGGATGCCATCCCACGTGGGTACAATGTCACTGGACTCCACGGGAATTGTACCTTCCCCTGCATGAGAGACGAGTCGGATTGAGGAAGGCCACCACACCAAACCACATCCTGGGCACACTGTGTGCTCCTGAGGTACGGGCCATTGGCTGCTCGTATTTTTTTTTTTTTTAAGCACCTACTATGTGTCCTACTATGTGCTTGGTACTGAGAAACAATGATGAGCAGAATAAGACTTTGCTCCTTGCTATGTTTATGGGATGAGAGGAAAGAAAAGGGAGAGGGAAAGAGCAGCAATCTGACACACATGCAGAAACTCTGGAGGCTCACAGTACTCCCAAGGCATGAAGGGTGCTATGACGGGGGACAGCACATAATGGTGAGGGCAGAGGAGTCAGGGGAGCTGAAGCAAGGGAGAAAAAGGGAGCTACAGTGAGGGCTGCAGACACAGAGAACAGCACAAGCAAAGGCCCCGAGACAGTGAGGGGACTGGGGTTCCGGGGACGAAGGGCGGGTGCTGCTGCAGCGGCAGGCTGAGGCTGGAGGCTTCGAGTGGGGAACCACGTCCCTCAACTATATTTCTAGCCTGTGCTGGCTGGTTTTGTGCGTCAACCTGATACACGGTAGCGTTAACAGAGAGGAAGGAGCCTCAGCTGAGGAAATGCCTCCATGAGAACCAACTGAAAGGTTGATCAATGGGTGAGGGTCCAGCCCATGGTGGGTGGAGCCATTCCTGGGCTGGTGGTCCAGGTTTTGTAAGAAAGCAGGCTGGGCGAGGAATGAAGAACAAGCCAGTAAGCACTTCCCCTCCATGGGCTCTGCATCAGCTCCTGCCTTCAGGTTCCTGTCCTGACTCCCTTCAGTGATGAACAGCAATGATGAAGTGTAAGCCTAACAAACCCTTTCCTCTAACTTGTTTTTTTGGCCATGGTGTTTTGTCGTAGCAATAGAAACCCTAAGTAAGACATTGCCCTAGTTTTAGTATTACCCTTTAGTGTGAAGGTGTAGCAGGGGTGTGTGAGTACTCATTAGTATATATTTTTGTATGCATGTGAGCACATGTACAACCAGAGGCTGATGTTGGTTGTCTGTCTTTCTTTCTCTGATCTCTCAACCTGAAGCTCGTTCATTTGGTTAGGTCGAATACTTGTGCCTCCCAGCCTCCAGCACTGGGGCTACAGGTGTGCACTGCTGAGGTTGGGTTCTGGATATTGCACAGTGGACTTCTTACTAACTGGGCCACCTTCCACCTCCTCAACCTCGGATTTTTGGGGACGGTTTCGCTTTATAACCCAAGTACACACGTTTGATCCTCCAGCTTTAGCCTTCCAGGTCTGGGAGTGTGCTGCATGCCTGGCTGTTTGGAGCTACAATTCTCATGCCACACTACACAATCCACCCACTTAAAACACATGTGTTTTCATGCTTGTTCCATTACAACTAGTTGTCGAACATCATGTCACCCGAAGTCTTTTACACCGGGAAGTCCCTTGCCTGGCAACTCCCAGTTCCCAATCTGTGTCTGTGGGTCTGTCTGTCACTCTGCCCCTTTCAGACATGAAATCATATGACAAATGTTCTTCTGTGATTTTTCAGCTAGCATATTTTCAAGGTCCATGGTGTGGCAGGTCTCAGGACTTTATCCCTTTCTATGGCAGGTAATATGCCATCGTTTACCTGGGTATGGGTGCCCTGTTTGTTCCACTCTAGCCATTGTGACTAATATTACCATGAGCATGCCTGTTCATGTGTTTCTGTGGACACACACCTTCGCTCCTTAGGTAAAGTTCTAGGAGTAGAGCATGGCTTGTATGGTGACTGTGTTCACACTTTAGGGTATCCAGTAGGGAGGGGAAAGGGCCTGATAAATGTCTCAGGACCATGGGGATGACACTGAAGTGTGAAGGGATAGCAGTGATGTGAGGAGACATTGGACGACAGAAGAGAGGATGCTGGAGGGCAGGGCACAGCCTCAGCAGGAGCTCAGGATGCTGGCATCACATCTGCTAGCTCAGTGGACCCCACCTCCCATCAGTTCTCTTCATTTCTGCACATCCCCATTCTCATGACCACTGACACAGAGGGTGGTTCTCCTTTTATTTTTAGCTGGACTCTTCCTCGAGTTCCATGGGCACCTCTGCCTCCTAAGCAGCCTGGAGATGCCCTGCCCTCCCAGGCTGCAGACTTCCACTTGGAACCTGACCTCCCTCTCTGGTACATGCTGCAGCCTCGATGCCCACTGGCGGTCTTGCAGTAGAAGCAAAGTCTCCTATCACTCACCATTCTCCACCTTGGTGCGAAGCTTGCCTTGCTTGGGGTTTTCAAAGACAGGGTAATGGCGGGAGTCTGTGCTCTCCACAGCGCGGTCACTGCAGGATTTGTCAAAGAGGGCTCCGTCTCCACAGGGCGCCGTGCTGCCAAGCAATGGTGTTAGTTAAGACCCGCCCCCCCCCCCACAGATCTCCTTCCAACTGAGGGGGGGGGTCTTGAAATCAGCTGTCATCCAAACCAGGGATTATTTTCTTAAGCCTATTTGGGTACTGGGTGGCAGGAATTCCTTTGCCATCTGGGTATGCACCTCAAACACAGAGCAGACATGGCTTACAGTACAAGGTTAGGGTTGGGGGCCAGAGGAACATGCGGACATCCAAGCCAGGGGTACATACCTGATGTAGAGGTGAAAAGAAACGGTCTTTTTTATCTGGAGCTTCTCCCCTCCTCTGGCAAGCTCAAATATGCTGTTCTTGGCAGTGTGTTGGTTATACTTCATTAACTCACTGTAGAGAAACCTACCAAAAGAAAGCTGGCTGGGAGGCAGCTCCAGTCTGGATGGAGCAGAACACACCTCTACACCCCACCCTTGGTTTGAGCCCAGGTAAGGAAGGCAGGCCCTCAGGTGGAAGAGGGACCGGGAAGACCTCCGCGGGAGACCTCTACATGTCCTAAGAGGTGGCCTCTGGAGAGGCCACTCGGGATTCCAGGTGGGATACACGGATTCAAGATCTTGCATGGCTAGCTTCTGCTTCTCCATGACTCTTGCCCTTCGTGAGTTAAAAATGAGCCCGAGGAGAAAGCTGGCAGGGACGGAGGCTGAGTACAGATTCTCACACAGAGGGAGAGGCTGCTTCATTCCTAAGGCCTGAGGACGCAGAGGCCGCTTCGTTTGGAAAAGATGCAGCCAGGTCACAAAAGGGACTGGCTGCAAATGGCAGGCCCAACTGACTGCTGCCAATTTGCCAGAGTGGACTGGGAGCCAGGAGGGGCCCCACCACAGCTAAATGGCTGTGACCATCTTGCTCACCTGATGAAGCCCCTCCGGGAGATGATTTCTGCATGGCAGTCATTGACTGTTTCTCCCTTCAGGCTGAGAGAGTCTCCTTTCACACAGCGATTCCCTGGGAAGGGAAGAGTGCTGGTGGAGCGAGCGGGTGGAGACTGAGGGGCGGACTTCAGACTCTGCCTTTCACTTACAGAAGAACCCACCCCTGGCAGCACAGGAGTGACTGCTGTAACCTCAGCGCCTGAAGGGCTAAGGTAGGAGGGTGGTGTGACTGAGGCTAGTCTGGACCACCCAGCCTCGAAACAAACAAAATCCCCAAGCCAAAACAAATCCCAGTCAAACCCCAAACTCATTCCAAATCTGAGCTGACTGCAGCTAAAACCAACAGAAACCAGAGTGCTCCTTAACTTGGACGCTGAGGGCCCAGCAGACTCTGGGATATTTACGTAGTGTTCGCAGCTAAGCAACTAACTAAAAAAATCTTAGCAGCTCCAACTCCAAAATGTTTTGAGCATCATGTCAGCAACTTTGAAGACATTCATTCCATGTGGAGTCTTTTTTGTCTTCACCTTTGGACTTGCCCATGCTGACTCCACATAGGCTGGGAAGGACCTGCTCTGCACCAAGAGGCCAGTGTCTCAGGGTGCACTCACCTGTCCCCAGACTGACAACAACACCCATGTCCTCAGGGTCTTTCTTCATAATAATGGCAGCCAGGATCTTGCGGCCGAGAAGGGAGGGCTGGAAACTGTTGGTGAGAGCGTTGAAGCACCTGTGGCTCAGCATAGCTATCTGGTCGTGGAAGGTGCTACCAGTGAGAGGGAGCTGTGGGGACAGGAGCAGTGTCGGGACCACAGCGCTCTGCCTGCATCCTGTATGCCTGCTGGCAGGGAAGCCGTCTTTTCCCATCCCACATCCAGTAACCCAGACATGCACTCTACTGAGACCAAGACTGAAGCCAGCAAAGTGAAAAGCCAACTTCTTCTGGGGAAGAGCAAGCAGAACCCCACCCTCACCCCCAAAAAAGAGAGCACCAAAAGCAGATGTCTTAACTGTCTTTGGATGTGCATCTGGGGACCTGGAAAGGAGGAGCATAGTTCTTCTGAGACTGGCCCCTGTCACTGGGGTTACCTCTGCGAAACCCAACTGCTCTGCCTTCTCGCTCTCCCCGATCAAGACACGGAGGGCTGCATCGGCTGCGTCTTGCTTGCCTTGTTTCTTGCTGTGCGCACAGACGGCTGGAAACCAGCGGCCCCCAACTTTCGCTTGGTAAACAAACCTTTGGGATGAGGATGAGGATGAGGATGAGAATGAAATCAAGCAGCGGCAGTCCCGGATGGCTATGCCTAGAACAAGGCCACGCTGGCAAACGGGAAGACTGCTGGTCTCATTTGGAGGCACCACTCCTCAGACTCCTCAGACTTTGGTCTTTCTCATGGTTTTGTTTGTTTGTTTGTTTGCTGTCAGTTGCTCTGTTTCTTAGTGTTTTCCTCTAACCAGACCCATCAGTACTATAAGCATATTTTAAAGGTGTAAATTTTATCTCATTATATAAATGGGAACAGCACCACTTCCCATAAACTGGAAGTGACTATAAAATTCAAACAATCTTACTAAATTCTGTCTAGATCCTGTAGTGTTACCTGCAGAGGCTCTGAGCTGCTGCTCCTTGTGAAAAGGGAAGATGAGAGAGTACTGGAAAGGGTTTCTTTACAAGCTGGGAAGACGGCTGGCTCAGTTGGTAAAGTACCTGAACACAAGAACCCAAGTGGACCCCCTCCACATGCCAAAAACAGCGTGGCATGGTGGCTGCATGCTTGCAACTCCAGCAACAGAGGCAAAGACAGGTGAGTCCTTGGGGCTTGTTGACTAGCTAACCTAACCTAGTCAGAGAGGCCCTGTCTCCAAATTTAAAAACAAACAAAAGTAGAAAAATAGATGGTGACCGAGGAATGACATTCTACCCCACCCCCACGTACACACATAAAAAAGAGGTTTCTTGTCAAGTAGAGATGAAGGGCAACTGTCTCCCCACATAACCAGCACTGCCTGACTCCCTGTAAGAGGCCAACCAAGACCTCTACCACTGTGCTGTACCCCCAGCACTGTCCGAGTTCTAAAGTATCCAGTTTTGTTTCCTGATGTGCCCAGAAAGGTGACTGCAGCAAGGTCTGCCTCAGGCCAAGGAGCCAAGCTTTGCCAAGGAATTATTTGTTCATTTCCAGCAAGCTTGAGATAGCTACGGGGGAGTGGGGGGGACGGAGGGAGGAAATGGACCATGAGCTCTGAAGTAGAGAGGGGTCCACACTGTTCCTGGGGCAGGCTGCCAAAAACACCCAGAAGGAAGCCAGCAGCTTTCTGGAATCCCAGCTTTCGATCAGATCCTAATGCACACTTAGCTCTGGACAAGCCAATGGTGCCTAAGAGAGAGGCACAGCCCAGTCTCTGCCATCTGCACTGAGCTTCCTTCCCACTGTCCTTCAGACACGAAGCAGCTGAATGCCTCTGTTCCTTTCTTTGCCGGGGCTGGCAGGTCTCTGCCAGCTAGTGGGCAATGTTCAGAATTGAGGGCAGCAGGAAAAAGTCTGGATGAGCAGGGAAAGCTGTAGGGCCTCTGCCTCTGGAGACCAGGAATTTTGTGGCCATTGGGTCTTCGAAAAGGATGAGCCCTGTACACATATTTTGCATATGACAGAATGTGATTAAGCTTGTTGATTATGAAATCAGAATCCTTTAGAGCCATGCTTTCTACGGAATTTAAGTGAACTGAAGCTTAGATGTATGATTAATTCAGACCCTCCGTCATGCTGGCCACATCTCAAGTGTGTAGTAACTGCATTCAGACAGTGGCTGGGCTTTTTAGCCGAGTAAGTTGAGATTTTATTTTCAATTGTGTATGTGCATCTATCTGTGCAGTGCCCGAGAAGGCCAGAAGGGGGTGCTGGATCCCCTGGAAGCTGGAGTCAGGTGGTTTTGAGCTGCCTAGTGTGGGTGCTGGGATCTGAACTGGGAACTAGGGTCCTTTGCAGTCGCACAGTCTGCACTTTTAACTGCTGAGCTATCTATCCAGCCCTCAAAGGGAGTGAAGAAAGTACACAGTGACTACAGACAGTTCTTTTGAGACATCTGGTGTCTGGAGCCGTGCAGAAATGGGATAGAGCCTGGAGGAAGCAGGTGAAGACATGGTCTCTCAAAGACAGGTAAGAGTCTGCATACGTACTGGCTGAGGTCAGTAAGCCAAGACAGGTTGCTAGAGAGAGGCAATGAGAAGGGAGATCAGGAAACAATCATGCACAGGAGGGGAAGGGACCTGGACATGATGTGGGAGGAAGGATGCTTCCTTCATACTTCCTGACAGGTGCAAGGTAGGCAGGTGGCCTGGTTTCATCGGAAGTAAGCTATCAGTTTAGATTACCAACAGTGATTTAGGTGGGAATCTGAGGCAAAGGCTTGGAGGAGTACTCTCAAAGGAGAAGACAAAAATTGGCAGAGAAGTGCTAATAAAGGGACAAGGATATGGTGAGAGACCACTGATGCTCCACTCAAACCTTCAATGACTTCCTACTGCTTTTATAGTAAAGCAACAACCTACAAGGCAGGCCCTGTGGGCAGCCCCTGTGCCCTTCAGCAAACAGCTGGTACAGGCTTGCCCTACCCTTACTCCCTGCTCATTCACCAGACTCTCTCTCAGTCCCTTTACTAGGTCTGTCCTCCCACCACAGGAACAGAGATGTACAGTCGTCCCTTGGTGTCCGTGGGAGAAGCTTCAAGGGTTCCCCAAGGACACCACAATCACAGAACATTTAAGTTCTTGATATAAAACAGCATGGTATTTGCAAACAAGCCACGCACATCCTGCTGTGTGCCTACATCACCTCTAGTAACACAATGGTGAAAAGTACTATATAAGAAGTTGTTAGCTGGGTGGTGGTGGGCCTTTGATCCCAGGAGAGGCAGGTGGATCTCTGCGCTCTAGGTCAGCCTGGTCTACAAAGCTACACAGAAAATCACTGTCTCGAAACACCCCCCCCCCCCGAAAAAAAATGTTACCTTTATTGGTCCATGGAATAATGGAATAATAGTACTTGCATGTGTTCATTACAGACACAATTACATATGGGAGTATGTTACTAAGGATTAAACCCAGGTTTATCTAAAAGGAAATCTAGTCTACACTTGGCTAAATCGATACAGTACCAATCAATACAGGCTGCCTGTCTCCTGTCCTGAATCCTTTTTTCTCTTAGCCATCTTAAGTGATGCCTGAGCATCACTTCTTGGGAGAAGTCTTTCCCCAAGGGAGTCAAACTATGTCACAACAGATCCTTATTCAGGGCAGTCCAGCCCTTCCACAAGACTTAGCCAATGTGATCTCACACTCACTTAATGACTGTAGGCTACTAGATTAACAAAAGGGGACTCCATACACAAGTGTTAAGTAGCACAGCAGAAATAAGTTGGGATGTACCAGATGACAGAAAGCGGTGGCTTAGACTAGGGCACTAACACCAAAAATAAAAAGTAGGGAGACTTAGTCAGAAACTAAGTGTAACCAACAGAACTCAGGAGCTGTTTAGCAGGAAAGGAGGGCATAATTATCCTTGGGATTTGTCCTAGCTAGTTGTTTTTTGTTTTGCTTTGTTTTGCTTGTTTTTTCCAATTTCACACAGGTTACAGCTATCTAGCAAGAAGAACCTCAACTAAGAAAACGCCTCCAAGGAGACTGACTGTGGCAAGTCTGCAGAGCATTTTTCTTGATTAAAGATTCACGTGGGTGGACCTGGCCCACTGTGGGTAGTGCCACGCCTAGGAAGGTTGTATAAAAAAGCAGGCTGAGCAAGCCACCTGGCTCCCCTCCACAGTGGACTATAGCTGGAAATGGAATTAAACCCTTCCTCCCAAGTTGCTTTTTTTGGTCACAGTGTTTGTTCATCACAGCACTAGAAATCCTCACTAGAACAGGCCCGGCTTGAGGATGTGTAAGCAGTGCTGTTTACTACTATGACAAAGTCTGGGAGCTCTGCTTAGGGTGTGTCTGACTAGAAGTGAAAGTATGTAATACAGGAATGTGGAGCTTGGGGAGGTCTGGGTTACAGAGAGGCGTTCAGCACTTTCCAGCAGTTAGACATTAAAAGCCAACAAGTCAGTTAAGGTCACCAAGAAAAAGAGGGAAAAGTGGATGCAGCATTATTTACACAAAAGAAGGACCACATGAGATGGAAATAAAACAGCTACTAAATTAGCATCTGCCTCCCAGGACAAGCCACATGGCAAGTCCATCACTGTCACAGTCCTAAGTCTGCTGTATCCTAAGTCTTCTATTCCAGTTTCGAGGTGAATGACTGAATTCCCAGGATATTACAGAAGGGTTCACTGGAAGCTCCCACTATCATGCGACCAAGCTTAAAGAGAGGGAGGCTGGCCAGAGGGAGGGGCAAGAGCTCATGTCCTCTTTCCCAGCCAGCTTCCCACAGGACAAAGGTACTCTGAAAGGGGGTAGTCAGGAGCTCTGCTGGGCCCCTTTAGTTTGAGGACTCTAAACTGGGTCATAATCATCAAAGGGCTAATGATTGCATTGTTTTAAAAGCTGTATAAGACTAAAGAGTAACCCTCTAAAAGAAAACGGGGTGTATCAAATGAAGCAGTTCACAAGGAAATGCCAATACAGAGGATCATGGAAACATCAATGGCAGTACTACTAAAAAAAAAAAAAAAAAAAAAAAAATTAAAACAGTAAGATAATTAGTTTTAATTAAAAGCAGGTTTTATGGGGAGGCATGCACGCATGCCCACGGGGACGGACACACACACACACACACACACACACACACACACACACACACACACACAGTGCATGTACGGTGACCAGAGACAAACTGAAATCAGTCCTCTCTTTCTTTAATGTGGGTCCTAGGGATAGAGTTCGGGTCATCAGAGTTGGTATCCTTATCTAATGAGCCATCCTGCTGATCCAAAAGATAATTTAAAAATTTAAAAATCACCCCCCCACACACACACAATGAATGTTCGCCCACACGGATGAAAGTGTACCATGTGCATGTCTAGTGTCCATGGAGGCCAGAAGTGGATGTCAAATCTCCTGGAACTGGGGTTACAGAGAGCTGTAAGCTATCCTGTGGGCGCTGGGAACCAAACCTGGGTTCTCTGCAAGAGCTACTAGTGCCCCTAACCCTGACTCGCCTCCCTGGTGCCCCTGCCCCATGTTACTTTCATGAAGATTTTTCTCCTTTTCAAAAAACTTAAAAAGTTCAATATGGGGCACTAGAGAGATGGATCCTCCAAAGGATCTGGGTTTGATTCCCAGCACCCACATGGCAGCTCACTAACATCTATAATTCAGTTCCAAGGAATCAGGCCCTTTTCTAGCCTCCATGGGCACTGCAAATACACGGAACACATACATACATGCAGGCAAAACATTCACACACATAGAGTAAAAAAGTTTACAGGAGGGTACCTGAAAAGTGATGAAAAGGATAGAAGTCAATGTGCATCATTTGTTACCCTGAGGTCACAGGCCACCCTCACCCGATGACACACGGCTGTTGCCAGGACTAAGACACTCACTTGGGTTCATGAGGAGGTCCGGACTGGTCAATCAGCTTGAACTCAGCAGCAAAGCCATGGGATCGAGCATACTCTAACAGGCCGCCCACGGGGTTGGTGTTCAGGTACCTGACGAGCTCACCAATCCTCCTGATCTTGTTGGGTGCCACAGATTCGTCAAGTGATTCCGTGTTCGCGCCTCCAGACTATGGGAGGATTAGCCCAAGAGGAACCAGTAACATGTCAGAAAACCCAGAGTGATGCAAAGACAACTCTACTCTGCCCATGCTGTAACCCATGACCTGTGACTTGAGCAGGACAACGCCATACCTGGTCATCAGCTGAATTGGCTGCCTCCTCCTGCAGAGCCTTCATGGCTTCCTCTGCCGCCATCTGCTTTGCTACTTTCTTGCTGGGGGCACTCACAGTGGGGAAAGTCTGGGCTCCCACTGCTACACAGTACTGGAACCTTAGAGGAAACGATGGGCGAAGGATCACAATGGCTGGGCTAAGGTGATCTGCCTCGCCCTGGTCGGCTGCCATCCTCCTCTACTTGTAGCTCTTACACACATCACTTCTGTGTAGTTATTCTGGCCTTGGATAGCTAGTGCGCCCCGCTCACCCACTGCCCCCAGTCTTGTGACCTGGATAACCACTCATCATGCAAGTATCACTCACTCCTCACACCCTCCGGGAGCCTTCTGCTGAACAAGTATGTGCACAGAACCCCCAAGCAGGGAGCTGCTAAGGCATGCCCAGATTCTCAACCTTTCTGTCCCAACAGTGACCGCCACGCTGTCCATGCTGTGACCCTACCTAGTCCTTCGACCCTTCGAACTCCTAATCCCAGACTCTCTGCTTCATAGCAGCAGCCAGGCCCTGAAGGCCCCTTTCCAGACTGTAACAGGAGAGACCATAAAGAGGAACGACTTCTCAACTCCGAGGCTGCAAGGAGTAAGTGTCTTTGCTACTCTGGGCGAGACCTCCACAGGAGACGCCACACATAAGACATACTTGGGGTCATGGGCAGGGCCTTCTTTGGACAGGAGGCGAAATTCACAGGAGTTCCCTAATTTGTGCATACACTCGAGCAGTGTAGTGACGGGGCTCTTCCCAGAGAATAATGTTGCTGAGGAGCTGGAGGTTTGGGACTCTGCTGGCTGGAGAAAAGGAAAAAAAAAAAAAACAAAAAAAACAAAAAAAAAAAACGACAAAACACAGAAACAAAACTCAATTGATCACCATGGCAGAAGGCAGTGGGTGTTGCTCTCCCACTCCTGTTTTTCTGAAACAATGTCTCCTCCTGCATGGCAGGCTGGCCTTGACCCCAAGACCATCCTCCTGCCTCAGCCTGCCAACTGCTGCAATTAACTAGTCCCTATGCACCCCAAGTCCTTTTTTTAGACAACTAAAGGTTAGGAGTTGCCTTCCAAAGGAGCTACTGGGGGGCACAGGAAAGGGTGACTTATCTTCTAAGAGAGGAGAGTGGATTCAAGGTCTGTGATGGTTGGTTTTTAACTGTCAACTTGACACAGCTAAAAACCAAAGGAAAGATGTCTCAGTGAGGTACTGTGTCAGACTGGCCTGTGAGTAAGTATATCTGAGAGACTGTCATGATAGCTTAGCTAGACCACCCTAAATGCTAGCAGCCCAGATAAAAGCACATGGCCTTGAAAGCTTTGCTTTTTAAAGACAGGGTTTCTCTGTAGCTTTAGGGCCTGTCCTGGAACTCACCCTGTAGACCAGGCTGGCCTGGAACTCACAGAGATCCACCTGCCTCTGCCTCCCGAGGGCTGGGATTTTAGGTGGGTGCTACCACCACCTGGCTGAAAGCTTTGCCTTTTTGCTTGTCTGGCCTTCGCTCTCCCTGAGGAGTCCATCTGCACTGTGCTGCTGCCTCCCTCCCTGAGAGTAGAACTGGCTTTTCTGGACACTGGCGCAGCTCTCTGAGAACTGCTCACGCCTTCAGTGCCAGGCTGGGACTGACAAGGCACCCAGCCTCAGGGACTCAGAAACTACCAGTTTTCAGCCTCCTAGCTGGGAGATGGCCCTCATCAGACCACTCTGACCATACCAAGTGCCCATCTGCGAAATCCTTTTAATTATCTGTTCTGTAAGTTCTGTTCCTCCAGAGAATCCTGACTAATATTTGCTTCTTTTGACCCCGACACTCGGCAAATACAATCAGAGTAGGAGGGTAGAAGAGGAGGAGCTGGCTAGGGGGAAGGTGAGGTAGGGTGAGGAGTAGGGCAGGGGTGCTGCCTCAGGACAGCGTTGACTATTTGAGCCAGGAAAGCTTCCAGAGTCTGTCAGACCCTGACGCACGACAGTCGAGGGTTACCCACCTTCTCTGAGTCTTCGTCCATGGGGCAGTGCGATAATTCTTCTGGTTTCCCACTGTCTTTAGCTTTGGCTTCCCGAAGCAGAATGGCCATGGCCTTCATTGCTGCATCCTGCTTGGCCACTTTCTTGCTGCCAGCTTCAGCTGGGGGAAACTCTCGGCCATTGATGACAACCTGGAATTTAAATCTTGGTGGAAAGTGATGAGATGTGTGAACACCAGGTTGGGTCATCCCTCTGTTCATTCACAAGAGATCTCTACCCCAGGATGCTCTGCTATACTGAGCACCTTCCAGGGTCTCTAGCTCTACATAGCCCTGGCTGTCCTGAAGCTCACTATATAGACCAGGCTGACCCCAAATTCAGAGATCCTCCTGCTCTGACTCCTGACTGGGATTAAACACGTGTGTCACCACACCCAGTGGTGTCTTATTGATTGTTTTAGCTGTGTGTGTGTGTGTGTGTGTGTGTGTGTGTGTGTGTAGATCAGAGACAACATGCAGGAGTCACTTTTCTCCTTTTACTACATGGGTTCAGAGAACTGAGCTCAAGCTGTCAAGCTTGGTGGTGAGAATTTTTAACTTGCTGGCCCGCCATGTTTTAGAGACAGGGTTTTGCTCTATAGTCCAGGCTGGCCTTGAACTACACATCCTCCTGCCTCTGCCTCCCAAGTGCTGGGATTGCAGGCGGGCTGGCCCGCTATCATTTCTTAACAATGAAACAAGATGAAGTGCACAAAGAGACTGGTGGACAGTCTTGCTAACAACCCCCAGAACTTTACCCTAGCCAACTATGTGGACTGGCCTCCTCCGTGGAGGCCCTAAAAGACAAGAATGGCATTGTGTCCCTTGTCCCTTTTCCAATTCCCCAGACACCCACAGCAGACACCTGGCCCGTGGCAGGGGCCTGCTAGCTGGTAAGAAGGGGGGAAGGGGAGCTGGGTGTGAGAGGAGAAACAAGGGCTGGGAGGGTGGGTGAGGGCGAGAAGGGGCCACCTGTGAAGGTTTGCTGTTTAGGTGGGTGATGTGTCCCAGGTCACTGTAGCAACCTGTCCTTCTCAGATTGCTTGTGCAGTGCTATAGATCTGCCTGTCCCAGGTCTGGGATGAAAAATCAAAACACTTGGCCCTAGACTCTGTGTCCTTTGCCCAAGCTTTTAAATGTCTTAGCTCTTTACTCAGGCTGGAGTCATTGCATTCACTCAGGGAAGGAGGTCACGTCTTTTAGATCTCCAAAACACTTGGCTATAATATAACATCTTTTTTTTTCCCCCCCATTTTGAGGCAGAGTCTCACTATGTATTAGCCCAGGCTAACCTGGTACTCTCAGTCACCCGAGAGCTGGGATTATGGGTATGTGCCACCATAGCTGGCAGCATTCAAGTTCTTTATATAGTTGAAGTCTAAAACAATGACTAACAGCAAAACATATATCTTTCCCTTAATTCTTTGGATGAGTGGTGAGAGAAAGAAAGAATGCTAGCCCCTTGCCCCAAAATGGGTCTTGGCTCTGTCAGTTTGGGAATAAACATACCCCCTTTATTTAGCAGCTCTCCTGAAGTGATAACTTGGTATCATGAAGGAAGTTAAGGAAGAAACAGGTCACTGTGGGGAACCCTCACCCTAGGAAACCAGTGGTCACACATCAAATATCCTGCGTATCAGATATTTGCACAACGATTCATAATAGTAGCAAATGTATAACAGTTATGAAGTAGCAAGGAAATCATTTTATGGTTGGGGGTCACCACAAAGCGAGGAACTATATTACGTATATTAAGTATTAGGAAGGTTGAGAACCACTGTCATAGTGCAAAGCCTCGCCAGTGCATGAGCGAGGGAACCTGACTTCTTAGCTCGGCAGTGGCAGCGGCACGTGCAGCCCATCTACTGTGCAGGGGCGGTGTGCAAAATTAGAAGCACCACCGTGGATGAGACTGGCAGCTGAGGCTGGAGGAAGTACACCTGCTGCTGCCTAGCAAGTAGTGTTCCTCTGTCTGCTCGGCCTGCCCCAGCCCGCCCGCTAGGTCTGGCAGTGATGGGGATAGTGGTATCTGTGTTACCTCTGGCCTAAGAAGGTAGATATGGGTGCACAAGAGCTAGTCATCCCTAAGGAAGTTTACTTCCGCCAAGAGAGTCAATCTCCCCTTGCTCAGTCAGGATTCTGGCTACCCTTAGGTCTAGCCTCCATGATTAGCACTTAGAGAAAGGACTAATCAAGGACGATTTAGCCAAAAGGTGGAAAAGAGAGAAGGCAAAGATGGGAGCCACCAAGGCCACCACTCACAAATGGGCTGAGGCAGTGCAGGAGCCAGAGCGCCTGACTCAACACTAGGCACGATTCCTGGGTGATCTCTTACCGAGGTTCATGGGATGGTCCACTCTGTTCTATCAGGTTGAAATCACAGGTCTGACTAGTGAACTGAGCATACTCTAACAGCCCGCTGACAGGGTTCTTCAGCTGGCACTCGGTCAGCTTCTTGTATGGTGAACACCGTGGCAAGGTAGGGCTGTAGAAGGAGGGCATCTCCATGATGGCTCGAAACTCACCTGGTGCTGTGTGGATACTATTCAAGTTATCTGGGATGTCATCTGTGGCCCACTGGCCATTTTCAGAGTCAACATACCCTGCTCTGGAGGGGCCATTGTGATAAGCGTGTGGTCGCAGTCTTACTGGTCCTGGTCTGGCCTCATACCTACTTTCATACTTTATCACAGGCTCCTGCCCATTCTCTACTTTTTGAGGGGTTGCCATGCTGCTTGAGGCACCTGATGGGGGTGAGTGGCAGGTGGGGAATGAGGTGCTTCTGGTAGCCTCTGGGACAGCTGCTGGAACACTGTGTGTACTTCGTTTTATCTGCAGCCTCTCCCGCTTCTTGTCAGTCAAGTACCAGATGGGAGGTGTGGCCCCTTGTCGGTAGACATCGCCTTGCCTTTCCAAGTCAATCAGCACTGCATTCACATCTCGGGCCTTGGTGAGGCCAATGTTCTTAGCCAGATTCAGGGCAGAGGAGTTTGACACATTGAACAGGTAGTCACAGATTTTCTCCTTGATCTCTGCCATGTCAAGAGGCTCAGGAGGCCCTTCTAAGTCAGAGGCAGGATCTTTGTCTTCACTGTCCACACCAGGCTCTTCTTGAGGGACTGCCTGAACACAAGTGTCTAGATTCACCGCTCTAGCAGGCTGAGTCCAAGCCTGATGTGGGGGTGCAAGGCTCCACAGAGGGGGAGTTCCCCCTCTTCTACGCACCTTCCCCCTCCTTTCCAAGGAGTACAATATACGATTGATCTCCTTCTTTGGAAGCCTGAGCTCTCTGGCTAGTACCTGGGCGCTGGAGGCCTTGCCCTCACCAAGCTCCTCCAGGCGGCCTAGGATCTTTGGCTCTGGATTCTGACTGATGCTCAGCTCCCAGAAGTGCGAGCAAAGCCTGTCAGCACCATTCCATGACAGACTTCTGCTGGGTGGGAGTCCTGTGTGGGACCCCTGACTTCCGAGAGCCACACTTCTGGGGAAATCCCAGATTTCCAGTTGCTTGCCTTGGGAAGGAGGCCCTGGGAACCTGGGCCAGTGTCCTGGGAAGGGTGGCGGCAGTGACTGGGACTGCTGTCCAATCAGGGGCGCTTCTGGGAGCCGCCCTTTGAGAAAGTTTATCTGCTGGAGCTGGAAACTCCTGGGGTAAGACCCAGGCCCATGTGGCTGTGGATGTCTCCACTTGTTATGCTCATAGCTGGGGTCCAAGTAGGAACGTGCCTGGTGGGGGAACACCCCTGCAGAAGACAACATGGAGGACAAAGCTTGAGTTAGGGACATATACGAACCTGTCACTATCATCCCTCCAGCTGTTCCCAATTGTAGTGGGCAGGGTCGCTGACTGAGCTGCTGACTGAGCTGTGGCCTATGTCCTCACTAGGGTGACTTTAGTCCACTAATGAATACTGCTTGGGAGGAGGGTGCAAGACGTACAGCCACTTTGGTCTCTAGAGCCTTGCCATGTGGATGATCTTGACGAGCGGAATTTAAAGGTGCATCTGAAGTGCATCCCTTTCTTCCAGCTGAAGGAGAAGTATAACTAGCAGGAGCCATCTCCATGTGGTAAGGGGCTCTCAGAGGTTTACCCCTTGGCTACCCTGGTCCCTGGAGGATTTGAATTTGGTCTTAGGGAAGCTAGGGAGTTGCTGTCTAAAAACAGCATGTGGTCTTTCTTCCCTCTTCAGCTGGCATCAAGGCTCACTGGACATGGGAACAGGCAGGGTCTAGCACCACTTCTATCTTATTTCCCCAGGTCCCCATGAACACCCTGCTGGAGAGCAGGGGTGGTCATGGGATGGGAGCACTTTGCTTGCCTTCCTCTTGCTTGCAAACTCGCAACAAACATGCAGCAATGTTTCTGATGCATTCACAGCCTTCCTCTGACTCTCTTAAAGGCTACAGGGAGCTGGGCCACAGCTTTCTGTTCCCCACTCTGTCACCATTGGAGATCTTACCATTATAATCACAACTGCTGTACCCCATTATTTGGTTCCTTAACTTCCATCTTCACCTGTCAGCCACATGAGGTCTTCATCTAGTGACCCTACCAATGTCACTACTATGTAACTCAGGTCACTGCTAAGTTGTCAAACATTGAAACTCTTTTCTGGGAGCTGGTAAACATTTTCTAGAGGAGGCCAGATGGCTTTGAGCAGCATTTACTGAACTAAAGTCTGTAGAAACAAGATCAGCCCTGGCTCTCCTTTATGCACGTCTAGCCCACAGGGCTTGGGAAAGAGGTATTGCGGTGCAGAATGAACGGCCCAATCACACAGCTCAAATAATGGAGACTATAGATTTTTGATTGATTCTTTGTGTGATTCTGGGGAAAAGACATTTTCATTTCAGAGAGGTTAAAGTCTGTTTCTAGGTAAATGCCTTTTTCTTTAGACTTGTTTATTTTATGCGTATGAATGTTTAGCCTGCATTTATGTCTGTGCATCACATGTGTGCCTGGTGCCCAAGAAGGCCCCGGAACTGGAGTTACAGATGGTTGTGATTAAACAGCAGCTACAGTTCTTAACTGCTGAGCCATCTCTCAGCAAATATGGGTACCTAGTTACAAAATAGCTGAATAAATTGAAATATACTCACACTATGGAACATTAGTCAGTTTTTAAACATATATGTTGGATACATTTCTTTCTCTCTCCCTCCTTCTGTCTCTGTCTCTCAAAGAGACAGTGTTTCTGTGTAGTCCCAACTATTCTGTAACTCACTATGTAGATCAGGCTTTCCTCAACTCACAGAGTTCTGCCTATCTCTGCCCTCCAAATGCTGGGATTAAAGGCATGCACTACCACACCTGGCTATGTGTGGCTCTGACCACAGAAAATCTGGGTATACGTTAAAAGTGTAAATGGCAGAGTACAGGTATGTTACACTCTCTTCTATTAAGAAAAAGGAAAACCCAGAAGAATATATATGTGAGCATGTGCCAGTATGAGCAAGGATGAAAAGAAACAGTAATGAATTTACTGAGTTATTTGGGGAAAGTAGGACTAGAGAAGGAATTATTTATCCTGTCTTCTTACCCCTAAATGTCCCCTAAAAACCAATTTCCAATTGAGAACAGCTGCCGACAGTCACTTACTAGCACTGAGTATTCCTCAAAGTCTTTTCCTTCAGGTCAGATGTCCTCAGTGTTTTTGGGGAAGGGCTTTTTAAAATACAACATTAAGGGCTGGGAAGATGACCCAGTGGGTAGAAGCACAATCCTAAAGACCTGAGTCTGAATCTCCAGAACCCACAAATAAGCCTGATGTATGGTGTGAGCAAAGTAATTGCAGGACTTCTGAGGACATAGGGAACCAAGAAGTTAAAGTCCTGGAAGGCTGAGGGTGGACACTGGAAACAAGAGACCCTGGTCTCAAAAGAGCTGAAGGTGAGGACCCAACCCTGAGGGGCTTCAACCTCCAGATAAGGAGTATATGTACGCATGCACACCCATAAAATTGAACGTTGGCTTTTGGGGTAGGTTTCTTGAGATAATGTCTCACCCTGTAGACCATGCTGGCTTTGAACTCACAGAGATTCACCTGCCTCTGCCTCCTAAGTGATAGGATTAAAGACATGTGCCACCATGCCTCCAAAAAATAAGTTTTAAAAGTAAACACACACACACACACACACACACACACACACACACACTTTAGACTAAAGCTCAGTGGCAGAACACTTGCCTACCAAGTGTGAGGTCATGGGTCATCCCAAATAGCTTTTAAAAGCTGGAGGTATAGAGCTGAGTGGGGCATGCCTGTAATCCCAGCACTAGGGAGGAAAGAGTTGTGGATGGCTAAGGGCAACCAAGGCAACACATAAAAGAACTGTCACAAAAAATAACCCCCCCCAACCACCAATTGAAGATAAAGAGCATTTCTACCTCCACCAAAGTTTTCTCCTTCCCCACTGCCTCCAACCTTGCCCTCACTTCCAGCCCTCAGCCCATTGCTTTCCAGAATGTCACTTTCAGTGCTGCGCACACACAGCATGAGCCCTCTGAATCCGGATTCTTCAGAACACTGCAGTTGGGACTCGCGTATGGCAGCACAAGGACAGCATTTCTCACTTTAGTGCTAAATAGAATTCCACTGCAGCTTACCCAGTAAGCTGTGGAAAGACACCCTAACCCTAACACAGTAGGTCACTTAAAGCTAATTTAAATTTTCCAGGAAGTTGAAAGAGAGCAAAGAGGGAGGGCCATAAGGTAAGAACAGTTGCTCAGGTGGGGCTACAGCAGCTCAGCGGGGTATTAGCTGCCCTAAGCAGAAAGCGAAGGGGAGTCCTGGGTCCTCAGGGTCCTGCTCAGACCCAGGTCCACCTTCTCTCATACCTCCTTCCTGCGATTGCTCAAAGCTGCAAAACCTAGCTGCCTACAAATCCCCAGAAGGACAGATCGGCTTGATGAGCGAGCACACAACCCGCGCAACTCACACTCCACAAGCCGGGGCGCAGGGATGGAGACCCCGCGGGCTTACCTGCGGGTCCCCTGAGCCCCTGAGACATAGTGCCGGCCAGACCCGCACTTGGGCCGCAAGATGGCTCCCCAGAGTTCACTTTCGTTTCCTGGAAAAGCCAGCTTCCCCCGCCTGCCAGATGGCTGGGCCAGGAGGCGGAGTTTGTTCTAGGCAGCAGAGAAGCATCCGGCCCACCCCAAGGGCTGGACCGTGGCAGTTTTCATTCTGGGCTTTCCTGGCCACTCCGCCTCAGCTATGTACTATTCATGCTATCTAAGAGCTAGAGTGCAATTTATGTCATCGACAAGCATATTTTTATTCACGGTTTTTTGGAAAGTTTCACTTGGGCACTCAACAGCATCCCCCCCCCCCCCCAGAAGTTCCTTTTCTGTGTTTAATCCCAGTTACTTAAGAGATTTACAAGTCTGTCCCTCCCTGGGGTGACTGACTATCTGGCAGATGCCCTGTCCCCACTAGTTTCATCCACCCTATCGGCTGCCCCAAACTTCATACCATTTTATGGATATTTATACCTTCTTGCATATTCTATTACTCTGTCTAGAATGCTCCTCCTTTTCCTTGTTTTTGTTCTTTGAGACAGGGTCTCATTCTGCAACCCAGGCTGGTCTTTAATGTATAGCTCAGGCTGGCCTCTAACTGGCCATACTTCTCCGGCTTCTGCCTCCTGAGTGCAGGGGATTATAGATGTGCACCACTGGGCCTGGCTTTCCAGCAGCTAGTACTAGTACAAGCTATTTTTCTTTCTCTTTTTTTTTTCTTGTTCTAAAATATACATTTTAATAAGATCTACGGTGAACGACAATGCTTTCTTAGAAGCTTCACATAATCATGGAAGAAGTTAAGAGAATGTACATCCAATCACAGTTTATAGTGGGTCTCTTAGTGCCAATCTGCCAGCCACACTGAACATGTCATTATATCATTTGTGCAGGACACCAATTTTGTTGGGGAAAGGGAAGCAAGCGCAATCCTCAATGGTGTGTTCATTACAACTTCAGAGAAATTCCACCGACAGCCAAAACAATTTCAGTAAACATGTTAGGGGAAGCAGACAAGGCCTTTGAGGCCCAGACACACTTTCTTGTGTATTGCATTGCGTTCACCACCTACAGTGGGTAGTCAGGATGGTCTTCAGGACAGCATGGTCAACAGGACTAGGACAATCCTAAGATGCTGACAACTGTGACAAAGTCCTCAGACTTATCTGTCATAGTGTTTGATGTATTCCTCCACTTTGTTAAGGGAGGTCCTCCTCATCTGGCAATTGATGTTCTGCAGCTTTGTGAAGCTGTTTTTAAAACCTGGTTCTGAACTGTGTCCCAGGCAGGCCTTTCCCTCCAGGTAGGGGGATGGCAGGGAGGAAACAGGAATTTGTATTGCAGATTCTACTTGTCAGCAACTGGGCACTTACAGCCAGTAAGACATTTCACGTTCCTGGGCACGTAGTGTGCGTGAGTGTTCAGCACCCAGCACCTGGTTCAGCAGTCTGGGCAAGATGGGTGGCTCAAAGTCAGTCCCAATCATGGCCTTCCCGTAGGTAGAGAGATCTCTGGGGCTTGCCTGTGAGCAGGGCTGTTTAACTGTATCCCCTGCACAGTGAGCCCACAGAAAGGAGGTGGATGAATACCGTGCACTCAAATAAGCAAAACAATGTACAAAACAGAAACTTCACAGGTGGGAATAAAAAGTAACAATGAACATATAAAAAGAGCTCAATTAGGTGTCATCAGGGAACCTCAGTAAAGGAGTCCAGTGAGCTGCTGTCTACTCACCAGGTAGGTACCATTAACTAGCACATAGGACCAGGTATGAGCAGCCAGCCCTCAGTCACTGTAGGATGTCACTACTTAGGAAAACACACCCCATCATTTAACCATTCCATGCCTCTATCAGGATAACCTTCAAAACACTGGAAACAAAGAACCTAAGAGTCTATCTAATGAAAATAAACAAATGTGCCAATATTAGATAATACAGTAATTGAGGTAAAAACTACAACCACATGCAACAGATGGGAAACAATAGGGTAATACTGAGAGAAGACACGTGAAATCTCCGACCAGGCAACACTCAGTTGTATCATGCACTGCACGGACAGGTCCGTCTTCATGAGGAAGCTGCACTGAATGGCAAGAATATTCTGGGTGCTAGCTATAGTCCAGTTTTTCACATGGGTAGTGGTTACATACGTTCACTTAACGGCTTGTTATGCACTGGTGATTTATTAATGTGTATATGTAGATGTATGTGCATGCTTATATTCCACAACTTTAAAAGGTAAAGAAACAGAGAGAACCACTTCTCCCTGCAGCAATTCTAGCCCACCTTCCCTTGTTCTCTGTTCCATTCACGCAGCCTCCACTGTGCCTTACCTCTGCTCCTTTGCCTTGCTGGTAAGTAATCAGGAGGAATCCGGGAGGAGCTGCCGTGGTGTCTCCAGTGCAGGCAGCTGGTCCTCCCAGCAATTCTGTCCTCTGTGAACCAAACACAGGAAGAGCTCTCAATAGAGAACCTTTCTTTCCCACTGATCCTTTTATGCCTTGGGAGGACAACAGTTGTCACAATCTCAGCAGCTCAGTTCCTACACTCAGGTTCATTGATAACCCTTAGTCTCCTCTCCCCTGAGAACTGTTTCCTCTCCCAGGCTGTAACACATCTCTGTTCTGTTCTGCTTATGTTTATCATGGAACTGTTCAGAAAACACAAACAGGCACACACAATGAAAGCCAACTTCCTGTTTCCACTGTCAGCTTGTGGGTGCATCCCTTTTGCAGGGTTTCCCCTCAACTTGAGGGTGGCAGTCCCATCACAAAGAGCTTACTTGGTTGGCTCCTGTCAGGTTCTCCAATGACCTCAGTTCAGCCTACAGAGTACTTTACTTACCTCTCAGGGTTACTCATTAGTCACCACCCAATTAATTCAGAGTTACCACTAAAATAATGTATCACACACACACACACACACACACACACACAAAAAAAAAAACCCAAAACACAAACAAACCCCTCAGCCCCGGCAGATGCCCGGCTTCACTGTGGCCAGGCTCCAGTCCCACATGTGCCTTCAAGAGCTGCCTCTAGGCTTAGTTTTGCTTTTAACTACAGTTACTGTTATCTGGGTGAGCTGTTGTACATTTTATTTAAGCTCGCGTTGTGGAGAGATGCATGTCTGCAACAGTTCTTGAGTCTGTAATTTCCCCGTAACCAGACTTCAGTACACAGACAGCTGTTTACCTGCAAGTGAGCCGTTTGCCTCTACTGTGTAGCAGTGTTTTGCTGGCTCACCTTCAGTGCCGGCTCCCACAGGGGCACTGAGAGAGGAATGAGCTGCCCGGGACCGCATGGTACATGAACAACTAACTAGCAATGTGTTATCGGGGACGTAGTGAGGCGCTGAGCTACGAGGCACTAGGGGCATTAGTATTATTTTAATTACTTTAAATTCCGTGTGCGCGCGCGCATGCGGGATGGGTACATGCGCACGGATACAGGTGCCTTAGGAAGTCAGAGGTCTCCGATCCTCTTGAAGCTGGAGTTACAGGCAGTTGACACCACCTGATGAGAGTGCTAGAAACTGAAGCCAGGTCCTCTGCCACAGCAATGTGTGCGATTAATAGTTCGGCATCTCTCCAGCCCCAAGGGCATTGCCTTTTTTTTTTTTTTTTAAGAGAATATGTATATATAAATACACTCAAATTCTTATCCTGGCTTTTATTCAATGTAGGAGCTTGAACCCAGTGGCCTTGCCTATGCTAAGGCAAGAGCTCTACCACTGAGTCAAATCTCCCACCCTATATCCTAGCTCTTAAGAAACAATCTGTGGAGCTGCTAGGCATAAATTTGTTCTCTCTTGGCCTTTTATTTTATTTTATTTTATTTTCCTTGTGTTCCCTTCCCTGTCCCTGGGTCTCACCGTATATCCCTGGTGGTTCAGGAACTTGCTATGTAGCCCAGGCTAGCCCCGAGCTCCTGCCTCAGCCTTCTGAGTGCTGGGATACAGGTTTGTACATCTTCTTTAGTACTCATCACTGGGCTTTTCTTTCCACCGAGGCAGCTGCTATCTCTGCAGCATTCGTTTTCAAAGCTCCCAGGGCCTCTCTCAGAAGTCTAACTTGCTCAGGTGATCTTATATTGATCTTGAGAGTTATTCTATGGATGCCAATAGCCAGAACCAGCTTTTGTTTTTTTTTTTTGTTTGTTTGTTTGTTTGTTTTTTGGACACAGGGTCTCATGTAGTTCAGAGTCACCTTGAACTCCACACACAGCTGAAACTAACCCTGAGCCTCATCATTCTGCTTCTACCTTCCAACAGCTGGGAATACGGATGTAAGCCACCAAACCAAACTTCCTATTTTTGAAAATTACAAGAAAGCAAGAACTATTTTAGGTATTCCCCTCCCCTCCCAAAACACAGAGGACTCCAGAAGGGACATGCATTTATTACTGAGTCAGAGTTCTCCAGGAAATGAAAGGAAAAGAAGTCTGTGCCAGGCACTGTAGTAGTTAGTTATATAACAAAGTATTAATGACAATGCCAAAACAATGTAAAAACAATGGCACGGATAGCTTCATGAGCAGCCCACAAAGTGACTATACACCTTGTGGCTCTATGTAGTAAATCCTGTCTGGCACTCAAGCTGCCTGTCCTATGCAAGGTCAGTACTGTGAGCAGCATTTGACCAGTTGCTGGGGTGGCTCAGGCCAGCAGAGAGACTCAGCTGCTGCACCAAATCTGGGTTCCACTGAGTTAGAACTCAGGTAGGGGATTCTAACCAAGTGTCCTTTACTCCCCGTCTCCCCCAGTTCCAGCCTGTGAGCTCTGCTCAGTCCGAGTTTCTGCGGAGCAGTGGCCCCATCTCCAGCTTGTAGGAAGTAGAGAAGATAAGTGTTGCATTCAGGGTGGCAACAGCAGACTGGGCTCAGTGCTGGGAGCAGGCGGATTTCACTAACAGCCAATTCAATTTGCCAGATGGCCAATCCATGGAATAGGCAATTTATAAAACAACGAATACATGGATTTTACTTATTCCTTAATTGAGCAGTTTTATTCCATCTTCCTAATAGAATCTAAAGGCAATGTACAGTGCTGTCTCCTGCTTGTAAT